TGGTGGGGGACGCTGAGGTGGATATTTATTATAATAATAATAATTATTATTATTATAATTATTATTATTATAATTATTATTATTATTATTATTATTATTAATATTATTATTATTATGTGGCCTTTGAGGTAGATCAAGTAAACTAATACATCAAAGAAAGCGCTTCTTTAGTTTTATTTTCTATGGTATATCACTCATATCATTAGATCTTTTTGGTTGCCGAAAATTCTGGATTAAATATCATGAGAAATTTGCGTGTGCTTTATTTAGACTATATAATGATGGTGTGATAATGATGAAATTGACTATATAAAAGTGTCATCTAAAGGCAGTGGTGTTGCCAGAGGGGGACTGGGGGCTACAGCCCCACCCCCTGTCGCGGAAGACGAGTAAGTTTTGTCGAGGAACGAACAAATAAAAAAAATATTTACATGTAATGTTCGTTTAGCCATTACTATTTGTGTTAACTTTTCATTACAACAACAACAACAACAATAATAATAATAATAATAATAATAATAATAATAATAATAATAATAATAACAATAATAATAATAATAATAATAATAATAATAATAATAATAATAATAATAATAATAATAATAATTTAATGAGACTAATTCAAAATAATTTGCGTTCTGTTACGACAAATGCTCTTTTGGATAGCCTAATGATGATTGGAATACATCGTGATAGGTGAATCAACCTCGGCCATGACAGCGTGGTTGACAGATTTTATGCAAAATTTCCAAAATATAGAATTTCACTTTCAAGAATGAGGATTTGAAAATAAATAAGATGGTTACATTGCATACTCTTTGTTTCTTGTTTTGTTTAAAAAAAAATGGTTTTGGAAGCTGATTTCGACATTAAAAGCATACATGAAGTCATATTATAGTAACTCGATGACTATCAAATAGGCCTAAGTAATAAAAATTCGCCATAATTCATCAAATATCCGTGGCTTCCAGGACCCCCATCGGGGGCCCTGGGCGGCCCCCTGGCCCCCAGCCAAGTGAGACTTGATTCGCTCCACTAGCCCACCCCACGTCGGGGCTTTAGCCTCTACGTCGGGCAGGTCCTGGCGCAATCACTGTCTAAAGGTACTACTTCCTCAAATGTTCTCACCTTGGCCCCACTATGGTTGATGGCTCACGGCTTTGAAGTAGGTAAAGTAAATACATCGAAGGCAATGGTTTTAATTTTTATTTTCTATGGTACATCACACAACACCGTGGTTGCCGAAAATCGCTGATAAAAGATCATGAGAATTTGTTGGTCCTTTATTTTGACTATAATGGTGATCATTTATTTTACTATATAAATGTGTCATTTCCGGCAAAATATACAGGTACTATTTCCTGAAATGTTTGTGCCTCAGCCTAAACCATGGTGGGTGCAGACTCACGAAATGTCACCACCTCCTTCCAAAATAGGTCTGCGCCCTTGCACGTATCCCCTACCGCCAAATCCTGCATCCGCCCCAGATGTTTATGTGTGTAAGCCTACTTCACTTTACTTTTGCCGTGACTAAACTTATTTATTTATTATTATTAATATTATTATTATTATTATTATTATTATTATTATTATTATTATTATTATTATTATTATTATTATTATTAATATTATTAATATTATTATTATTGCAGTCGCGCCGAGAGGCCGGGGTAACCGGGGCAAGTGCCCTCTGCCCTGGGCGAAGTGTCCTGTGCCCCGGGCCCAGGATAACTAGGTAAAAAATAATAAAAAATAAAATAAATAAAAATTATTAAAACGTATACATTCATCCAGTATCATTTATGTGTTTTTCCCACAAGAATTGTATATAAAGTTGACAGTTTATCGATAAAAGCTGGTAATTAATCGCTTCTAATTTTCATGAATATTTTCATTGACTTATACTACTAGAGTTTATGTTTACCAAACAGTCAATTATTATTTTTCACAATTTAACAAAAATTGAGAAAAAAAAACAGAGTGCCATTTCCGGTCGTCCAGAGGTGCCATAATCATAAATTTTCTTACCTCAGCTCCAGCCATGGTGGGGCTGAGGTAGACAGACTGTCCATCTGTAAAAGTCCTTCTTCCCACTCCCAACCCATCTATTTCAAATTACTGGATCAGCCACTGTAAACTTTGATACCTATATGTTATGAATCTTTTCAGCAAGTTTGAATAAAAGGAAGGACATCTTTTACTTTTCATGTTTCTATTCGTTATTTTTCATGACCTGGTGATATTAGGCACTCTATAATCGAATAATAGTTCACTCATTTGTTAAACGACCGTAGCTTCTATACTGTATAAGAGTTCAGAATTATAAAGTCCAATTTTTAACAAATGATGTTCGCAAATAAATTTAAAAAAAAAATGAAAATGAAAATGAAAATGTATCGTTAAACGATTCGTTGGTTTTTTCCATTTTAGCGTTTTGGTTAATTGGTATTGTGATGTTTCCAAGTTTTGGGCTAAAAGACCATGAGAAAAGTCTGGAAAATCCTGATTCCGTTACCTTACTGTCGTTGCGACCTGTTCAGCCTACCTGATAATAATATTTGCTTAGTCTCACATCACAGTCTATAATTTTAATTGTTACTTTAACATAACATTTTATTAACAGTTCAGATAGCAATGAATAAAAACATATGTGCACAATCGTTAAAAACTCAATCCTTTAAAAACTCTAGTTTTAAATTAAAATATTGAATAAACTGTCACAGATAAGTAAGGATTTCAGTTTCTATATTTTTAAATACAATATTTTCTATTCGGGCTCGTTGTTGAATGAATGGAACTATTATAAATAAATAAATATATATATAATTATATATACCATATATATATCTGTCTCTTATACAAAAGTGATTCCAATAAATTTAATTGAATTAGATTGAAAATTAACCTCCACTGCTCGTCGGGAGGTCCGGGATCACCCACACACTTAGGGATACAATTCACTCCTTCAATTCAAGCTATGTTGTATTTGTATATTATTGATTTTGGCAGAAGCCATATTAAACTAGTATGCAGAATTTTATCAAAACAGGAATCACAATAATGCATTATGAATTGGAGATTTCATGGTGTTGGTAGGCTTTTATGTATTGAAAGGTATCACTTGGCTAAGAATCACAATGCTTAGAAAAGTGTAGTGTGCCAAGTAATCAAGAAGAAGGAAAAAAGAACAGGCTTACCTTAGCAGAGTAATCTCTGGGTATAGGCCTACAGAAGAACTGATATCAACAATACAGTATAGGCCTATAAAACGAGTGTAGAGGAGTCTGATGGCTGAACACGCACCACCAATCAATAACGTTAACAGCCTCAGTCTATTAACCAGACTCTCTGAATTGGGGAATTCCCAACGTTGGATCTACTGAAACAACATTATACACAACATACTGACGAAGGTCTATTGCGACTGACCTTTGATTCGGGCATGTGCTGTTCTCCACGAATTGATAAAAAAGAAGAATAATGATTTCTATTCATTTGGTTTAACTGCATAGCTCAATGTTTAAGTATAAAAATACAAATCAAAAGACACAATAGGCGTATATTAATATTATCATTATTATCATTATTATTATTATTGAATATTATTATCATCATCATTGTTATTATTACAAAATAATATACATACAATTAGGCCTACTTAAAAACCAAGCCCAAAACCGGGGTTTCTGTAGTTTTGGTCAAACGTGATAGGCTACCGTACCATACCAGTGAATTACGCTTGGCCAATAAAATTTAATTTTAACTCCCACTAAGATTGATTTAAAGTCAGGCACCACAAGAAAAAAAAATGGTTTGATATGTTGTACAACAGATTTTTTTCAAGAAAAAAAAGTATTTGACGAACAACTCGGGAACGGTTAATAAGACATTTTGGAATATTTGAAAACGGAGGAAAAAGTGTACAACCACCTATTTTTTCCATCTTTTCTCCCAGTTTTTAAATATTCAAAAATCTGTATATCATTAAGTGTTTTCGAGTTTTCCGTGAAATACGTTTGTGTCTTTGAAAATCAGTTGTAAAACATATAAACATTTTTTCCTCCGGAGCCTGATTTAAGCAAGCGTCGGTCGAGTAATTACCTCTAACAAACCGAATTGAAATTTATCTAAAGCGGTGTTACATTTTTTAGTAGCACTACCCATGCGGCCACTCTTGTGTGCCTATTAACGCCAAACACTTTCTTTCATTACTTTGGAACATTTTACTGTATGGACACAAAAAATACTGTTTTTAGTTAAGATGCTTATATACCATCTGATACCAATGATGGAATTGGTCAGCAGTTACCATTATAGTTTTTACTTAAATGAGGGCTTAACTTTTATTTCATATAGGGCTTATCGAGGAAAACGTGGATTTCGGAGTTTGACGTGATTTTCACGCACATTTTCTTTTAAGAATATGGTACATACAGCACCATAAATGACATTTCTCCATGACGTTCAAAATTTAAAAAATGCCCAGAACAATGTTTTGCAACATCATTGGCTATCTAGGAGACTTGAAATGGGGGAGCTGATGGAGGGGGAGGGGGAGATCAATGATTAAGTGAGAGAGAGCTAGGTCGCAAAATAAGGTAATTCGAGATGAGGCGATTTTTAACTACTTGACCGTGCTTTTTGGCTTCGGACATTTTCAGTGGACGAATGGGGGAAGGGGTGTTGAGTTTTTTTTTGTGGGCGTGCCTGAGCCCTCCCACGCACTCTAGATACGCCACTGCGCAACATCGCCGTCTGTCTCTCAATGTGAAGGAACTTTTGGACAGTTAGCTGTTCCCAACTTGAAAATTCATCAGTATAAGTATCAACATTTTAGCTAAAAAACATCAAATAAAAAATGTCAGTAAACAAAAATCTGTAGTAGGCCTATCTAACACAAAAAGTAAACATCAATGTTTTCGTATCTCATTTTGAGTACGGTACCACGCTGTTTATTTTACAGAGCAGACACCCATTACAAAAGAACTTTATAAAATTATTAAAAAGTACACTGTAGAGATATAAAAAGTAGAAATAGGTAGGCTTAGAAAAAAGTAGATGATTCTCACTTTGTGTATCTATTTCATTTTGTCATTGTTTATTCTTTTCTGTGACAGTAGGCCTAATGGTTTACAGTTCGGGCGACGAATAGTTTTTCTAAATACTGTTATAGTCTTTGCCTATTTAGTGGGTTTTCTATATCAGTGGCGGATTCAGGAAATTTAAATAAAGGGGGGGGGGGCAGGGGGAAGGGAGGATTTTCATGTATGGAGGGACAATGTTGGGGTTGAGGTCTGAACGTTTATGATTGTGGCCGGACTCTCAGACCTAACATTTTAATATTCCTTTTCATCCACTTTTTAAAAATTTTGTAGAATTTAGTGGTGGGGGATCGGGCCGGTTGGGCTTCCTCCCATTGAATCTGCAGCCATAGACTAATATATCGATATTAGGCCTACCACTTCTTTTCCAAAAAGCGGATATGGGTGTAAAGGAAAGTGTTTACTTGTTGACCACCTGTAGGCTAGTAAATTCAGGGGCATATAACAATTTTGTAGGAGCTATGCAAAATGCTTGACAATAGGAACTTTTACATGAAGTTTAAATCGAAAATTAGTTGTTTTTGAGTACCGTCTCCCCCTCTTTATCCTTTCTTTTCTGTGAATTCATGAATCTTACACACACCCAACACAAATATCAATCAATAGACACAAATAGCCAATAGCTTGGTGGTAAATTTGTCAACATGACAGCAAAGCTGTACAGTACTTGTAAGCAAATAATACCGACATCGGATCAGAAATTTGCCGATTGTGGTCAAATATGGGGTTCGAACCAAGGAGTCGATTAGAGCTAGCCTCGAGGGTCCAGAAATATAAATCCCTGTTGGGGTTAACGGGGTAAGTTTTATGGCTTAGCACGAACCAAATTGTACTTTCACACCACACAGTTTTAGGGATTGGCAATCAAAATAAATTTATTTGGATAGGCAAATTATCATTGTTGCTCCGACAACCTCGTCGGGGCGTCGCACTATGGGGGCGCAGGCATGTCCGACGGGGGTAGGGGGAGGGGGTCCTCTCTCCCGCTGGCGGCACTACCGTTATGAATGGCGATTTGATGCATTAATGTTCCTGTTCAAATTCATTTCAGTACAGTATAACTATATGTCTTAAAATTTCAGTATAATTAATACAGTATTAGTAGAATGTTTTCGATGCGTAGTTTAATACAAATATGTACAGTACAACTGCTTTCTTTTTATCTCATTTTGAGAACCATAGTGTGTAAGCAAACGCCCACTACACTACCATATATACCAAGTTATATCTAAAAAACAGAACATAATAAATATCTCACAAAGTGGATTGAAAAACCTGGATGTTGTTGAGGTCGTCACTGTTTATTGTGTTCTTTAGTAGTGGGCGTCTGCTATCTGGTTTATGGTTCTGACAACAGATCTTTGCAGTGTAATGATTTTAGTCAATTCTATATAGGCCTATTGGTCTGTACTGGTTGGTTTTATATGGATTTAATAACCCGAAACTACGCCAACTACTTCTTCTTCTCTTATGTCGAATAATCGCTGTCAAGGAAAGTATGTTTCACTGTAGTATGGTAAATTGGTACACATGGTGAGATTTTTGTTCATAATTGTTTGACCATGGACCTAACATGGACATTGCTACTTGGAATTTACATCGAAAATTATCTTGCTTATATGTTCAGTTCCCCTTCTTTTTTTCTTATCTTATCAAATGACATTTTCTATCTTTCAAGTCTTTTATAATATATTACCACTGTCTTGATCGCCATTTTTGAGAAACTCTTCGTCTATGGCAGGACAAATGTGACTGTTCCTATTCATATTTTTATTGCTTAGGCGAGACATTTTTTTATATCTTGTTTAGCGAATCTGCCGCCTGCAAATTGTGATTTCGAATAAAAATAACATTATATTTTTGGCCAATTAGCACACCTGCCATCATATCTATTATGCACACTGCTGTCTTGAAATCCCCAAAATAAGATATGTATATTTCTTCCTCATTAAATAAATTTAAAGCATTTAACCGTCCCATTACTACACTGTTTACATTCACCAATAACATTATATTTATATTTTCTCCTCCGTCTGAAAGTTTTTGGCAAAACTATTTGCTAAATGAAAAACCTAAATTGTATTATTATTTTTCTTCCGCCATCCTTTGACGATGTTTAAGAAAATAAGTTTGTAAAACAAGGTATAAAAAAGTCTAGCCTTATCTTCAATACAAAAAGGAAAAAAGTTGAGTGTATGTATACATGTTTATTTGGATAAATATGCAGTGAAGGATAAATTCTTATTTTTAAAAATCTTTAATGTTAAGCACATCGAAGCACCAGTATTTTGCACTGTACAATTATAACGTTACATTATTATTATTATTATAGACCATGTGACAGAAGATGTGAAGCAAACACACATTTGTGTTTTAATGCACAAATTAGTTATTTATCTGGTTTCTGGCTGTAAAAATACTTTCAAATTGTATAAAAGTGGAAGTATAATGTTGGATAAATAAAGTATAATGTAATCTATTGGAAGTATAATACCCATTATTGTCTATTTACAGTGGCGGTGCCAGTGTCTGAAAAGGAGGGGGGAAATTAAGGGCATGGTACAATTTTGGGGGTGGGGGGCATGGTTCCCGACGAGAGCAAAGTGGTCGGGCGTCAATTAAAATGTTGTAGAAAGTGGTCCACGGGACGAATCCCCAGAAAATGGCAATTTAGGTGTTTCAGAGGCTTATATAATGGATTTTTTTTTTCTAATATCTAGAAAATACATATAATTTTTTTTCCTCCGCAACAAATTTTGGTTTCTCTTCTTTTTTGGGGGTGATGGTGACAAGAAAATTTTCTGGGGGAGGGGGAGAAATACTGTTGCGCCGCCACTGTCTATTTAAGAAGTTAAAACCAGTCCATACTATGTTTAATAGTATCTGCATTTTCTCTCCTTTTCCCAGTAACTAAATTAGCTTCGCCTTTTGTCCTTCGCCTTCTCCTCTCGGTTGCTTTTTTCTTCTGTAAACTCTTCTTCACTTTTGCCTTCACCATCTCTTTCCCCATAATTTGATGTGAATTTGTTGAACTGTTACTTTCCATGCGGGTTCGTGAGTGTGAGTTCACATGTGTTAAACTGGAAATGTTTCTGTGTGGTTTGTACATCTTATTTTCTAAACTTAAATCTTGTAAATCCGCATCGTAATCTTCATCGCTGTCACTAATGTCTTTATTTAATTCTGTTTTCAGCTCTTCTTCTCTGCTATAACTTGTGTTTTCTAATAATTCTGCATCTTGATTTTTTGAAATAATGTTCGTTTGTTTGCTTGGTTTAGTGTTCAATAGTTTGTGGGTAGAATCTTCATCATCATTGATGTCCTCATCACCTTCATCATCAGCATCCACCTCCTCCTCATCATCAGTACTTATATCTTCTTTTTCATCTTGCTCTGATTCCACATCCTCTTTGATTGATGTTGATGCTCCATCATCTTCTTTGTTCTCTTCTGCAGCTTCAGGAGACAACTGGGCCTTGTAACAAAGAACAAACAATGAAATGAAACAGACAATGGCTACGTTCAACCTTGGAGATAAGCCAGGCTTGAGTTAAGCCCAGCTCAACGTTAAGCCCGGCTTAACTTTGCCGGGCTTTCAGACTAGCGGGTTTGACCAGGAGGGAATTTGCATACTAATGAACCATAACCAGGAAACGTGTTTCAAAACATTGCTCGCGAAACGTATGCTCACTCACAGCGTACGTAATTGAATGCTGATTGGTCATTTCGTCACCCGAAGTCAATGCAAGACCCCCGCAACGATTAAAGCCTGGCTTAGAAAAGTTAAACACGGTGCCGTGCCAGGCCTAGTTACTATAGGAACACAGCCCGGCCTGAGATAAGCCACCTAGTTCAGACTGGCAGGTGGATAAACCCGGAGAGTTGAGCCGGGTTTATCCACCTAGTCTGAACTAGGCCAATAATTGATTAATAAAAGGGAAACAGGTGGTATTTCTATTTAAATATTAAACATTAATAAGTACATTAATAATGATAAAATGTACTCCAAATCTGTCTATAGCATGTGTCCTAATTTGCATTGCTTCAAATTTTATAGTAGTATCTATGTAAATAATTAAATCAACAGTAAAATATATGCCAATGTCATAATATAGTAATAATATTGGAAGTGGTAGTGGCAGTAGCAAATAGTACTATTAAAATACAGTAATAATGATATGTATAGCAAGTCTAAGCGTAGAATGCCTTTGTTCCCTTCTGCAGCCTCAAGGCCAACTGGGCCTTGTAACAAAGAAAAAAAATGAAATGAAAAAAAAAAAACAGACAATAATTGAAAAAAGAGAGAAACAGGTGGTGTTTAAAAAAAAAAATTAAACATTAACAAGTACATTAATAATAAACATATAACAAACTTTCGGTACACCATGTGTAAATAAGTTTGTTATTATGTTTATTGATACTCGCCATGCAAACCTTCAAGAAATATTTTTTTTTATACATTAATAATAATTAAATCTGTCTACAGAGTGTATCGTAATTAGCAGTTCTTCGAATTGTATATTATTTATACAGTACAGTATCTATATAC